ATCCACTCCTGCCAGCGGGAGGATCCCGGCGCCGGCACACAGAAACGCGTTAGGCTGGGGTTGATGGATAGGCGGAGGTTTTCTCGCTCCGCGGCAGCGGATCGGCTGAGCGCGGAGTAAATGGGCCTTCACCCGGCTGCCGCGCCGCCGTTATACCTGTCACATTATGTCACATCCGCCTGCTGCCTTCATTAACTACCCAAGCCGCTTGCCGTAGCCGTCCGGAGCTCATTTTGTCTTCAGGTGATAATTCCGATGCAGCTTCTCCTCGGCGTTCAGCGCCGATAATGGGACCAAAAGCGGAATTTGTTGGGCCGTGGTGTGATGGAGGAGGCCTGCCCGCTTCACACAGGCAGCAGACAAAGCAGGCGCCATGCTCTGGAGGCTGCCAGCGCGCTGGGAAATGCCCTGCCTTCTATCTGCGGCGCAGCATGTGGCGCATGACGGACGGCCACCTGCACCAGCTGCACCACCTGCGCCCAGCCCATTGTGCGCTCGCCTTATCGCGGCCGTCCCAGTTCCCGGCTCCGCTCTGCTCACATTGTCGCTGCCCGTTGAGCTGTTTGGAGGCCCGCTGGCGACGTGGTGCCTGCTTTCAGGGCCAGCCACTTATCATTCCCTCTGGAAACAGACGCCTCACCTTTTGGTTCCCTTCACACTCAGCCTAACGTCTCTTTCTTCTGTCTCTGTCCCCCAGTATAAAGTTTTGCAGCCTGTGTTGGCACCAACTAGAGAATTTTTCATGAAACCCCATGAAATTAACTAGACATAAAGACTTAAATATGTTAAAAGAAATAAGAACAAACAAATTATTACAACGTTGACCAGTACTGCAATACTGTTCTGATTTAGACTCTCCAAAAATACATCCTCTTCTGACTTTATCCAGACTAAACCTAAACTCACTCTCTACATTTTAGCTCTGCAGGTGTCTTCATTGAGATTAGTCGGCTTGAATTAACAGAGAATCCAACTGCATTCTTAAAAGAATCAAAGCATTTCATGTGAGCTAAAAAGCGTCCGATTCTGAAAAGTTGAAAACCTGCAATGTATCGAGAGTCCAAACCTGAGGAGCATCTCGGCTCCGTCTGTGGTTGTGATGGACTTTGAATGTGACGACGACTTTGGGAAAGTTCCAGTCACCCTAGTCAGACCTCACCAACCAGCCAATGAGGCACCGAGTGCCAAATTGGCTGGTTTGGCACTCGATCACCATCGTTAATGAACTGGTGATCGGTGGTGTTCAACTTTTGACCGACACCAAGTGAGGGTTCCAGCCGGCTCAAAAAACCCGGACCAAGGGGAATCCAATGTTCTGGCTCAACTACCCATCCTTAGGCCATAGAGGTGATCTGAAGTCATGTTCTACATTGACTCTCAGTTCTTCATTCTGACTCAGTTTCACCGTGTTGCAACACAGAGGGAAGAGAACCTGTCGGACTTAGAGACACTGAAGTTCCTCCCAAAGCATGTTGCCTCTTGAAGAACTCTCCTTCTTGTACTGATTTGGTTTGGGTGCCTTCAAACATCGCCCGTTTGCACCAGATTGGGGAACCATAACTGAGGACTTCAACGTTTCCACTCGTCTTTTCTTTCTCACCAGACAGAGGGAAGCTGCGAGTCATAAATAAATTCCTGATAAACTCTAATATGCATAAATAGAATGAAAATGTGTCGTGTTGCTCAGAAAACGAGACAGCTGTAAGAATCCAGAATCCATCAGAAATCTAATTAAAGTTGATCAAACTTTTTGTTATGAACTGTTGCTATTTTGTGATGCTAATTGCATTTTTGTTGTCGTTTTTCTCTTGACACAAGCAGCTTTCATGTCGTGGCCAAATTGGCCTAATTATTTCTGTGCTTCAATGTAACTAGAAACAAAAGCAGCTCAGTTTGAACTGATGTCAGTTTCATTGCCATAAATGTTGGTTCAGTCATTTAAAACCAGCCGGTAAACATTCACTGATTTGAGAACGAGACACTTGAATAAACCACCTTTTCTGCCCCACGCCGACGCTTTCAACTTGGTCTGCGCTGCCACATTAATTTCCTTCCTACTGTATGCCATCGTGGTTTGAAATTACAGTGACATGTTCAACCCTCACATCACAGCTGACCACTCGGATTGACTCCAAACGAAGCTCATTTACAGCGTTGGAACATATCCTCTTCCTCAGTGCATTCAAAACCTTCCAAAGACTCGCCTCTGACAAGAGCATTTCCTGCCGAAACTCTCATTGCTCTGACTGTGCACTTCTACTCTTGCTCCACTCACATTGTTTCCTTTAAATAGATTTAGCTTTTAATGCTTACAGCGGGCTTTCTTGCTGTGCTGAAGCTGTAATGCTTCTGCTGTTCACTTGTAAATCACTGTGAAAGCAATAGTCTGCACAGTGACCAATATACATTTAGATTAAATTACAGTCCAGGGACTGTAGAGTTTCCCTACATGCTACAGCAGTGATAGGAACATGCACTTGTAATGGGCATGTTTTTATTTTTTTATTTGTTTTCCAACACCAGTGAGTCAGATAGCCTCGTTTGCTGGTGGCTACTAAGCTAACGGCAGAGTTTTGAGAAAGCCACTCCAGAAAGTTATTGTTGTGGATTTGGGATCGGTTTACCTCAGAAATATTTGCAAGGAGTTTTGCAGTATTCATATGTTTGCACAAAGATAAATGTGATTTATTGGAAGGCTGAAGCAGCAGGGGAGTAGAAATAAGAAACACCGCCACCTGGAGGTGGAGGTCGGCGTCACTTTAAACAATTTTTTTGGCCATTTATGCAGAAAATTTGTAATGAGCTCAGAATAATGCATTAGTGTCAAAAAACATGGGGATCTGTTGTTTTAGAGTGAATTCCCGTGACCATCTTATAGACTGTGACTTCACATCTAATCAAAAGCTGGACGGCTTAAACCGGGGAACATAAGGAATCTTGATTTTCCTTCCCAAGGTCTCTTGAATATTTCTGGAATCTGTCTTACTTTTGGTTTTATGCCTGGAAACCGAACAGTTTCTGTGGACTCACTAATGGTTGGCATGCTTTCTCGACCTTGGCGGAGAGCGAATGTGGAAGTCATGCTGCTAAAGGACTTTGGTCAGGAATGGAACCCTGGACATACAGAGTGCCAAATCTTCCACTAGGACGCCTAACCTATGAGATGAGAGACACGTACGAAAGATAAAACCAGCAAAACCTTAAGAAGAAAGACAGAAATTTTTGTCCAGCAGCCTTCGTTTGTGCTAAATAGACTTGGTGGTGTTATGACAGACCAAGGAACTGATCCCGTATTCAGCTGAAGGTTCTGCCGCAGAAGAACAAAAATGCCAGTCAGAGATGTTTCTTTGAGATGATGATATACTGCGGTGTCTGCTGCTCTGGGAGGCTGACAAAGCAGGCAAGGCCGGGCCAATTGGAGTGTATTAAGCTGGATGTTAAACAAGTAGACGGCACTTTGCTGGTAGATCAATGAAAACACCTTGGTGAGAAGCGAGGCAGACAATGAAAAATTTACACCAAGGCCCACAACTCGGCTGGCGCCAGAGAATCATCAGACATTTGAAACATTTAGGTGTGTGTGTGTGTGTTGGGGAAACTGTAAATACGTGTATTGCCGTTGTGTCGAGGCGCTCGAGCTGAGCCGGCTCTCACCGCGGTGGCCGCCCCTCTCTGCCTCCCCTTTCCTCGCAGATGAATGTGAGGATAAATCGATAGCGCCGACGTCTTGACTCGCCGCTAGCTGAGCCCTCATCCATCATCCTCCGGCCTTGCCGGGAGTGACACTCACACACATACATAAACACACACGACATGACAGGGACATCCAAGAGACCACCAGTGCTGAAGAGCAAGACATTTTCCCAGGGCATATGTGCAATACATCTATCTGTCAGTCTGTTTGCATGGTTCTCTCTTTTATCCACCAAGTTGGATCACTTCCTATTCGCTGTTGGGCTGAATTCCCCGATCCAGGACACAATGTGCTGTGACAGGACTGCAGGCAACACCCCCGCCTGGCTGGAAGTGTGTTTAAAATAGATTGCTTCTCAGGCGATCAATAACAATGCTGATTACAATAAGCCCAAAGACGAGCGTGCCACGCAATATTTATCTCCGATGTCGATGTCGAGAGAAATTAGGAATCAATGGGCCACACAGCCCATTAATACACTTCGACTTAAAGTGACGGGGCAATGAGGTGAGGCCGTCGCACCGACTGCAGGGGGAATGTACAACAGCTCAAGGAGCCAATTAATTTCCAGCCTCCTCGGGAGGTAAACAGCGGCGTCCCGGTGGAGGACGAGGGCCACTCCAGGTCGGGGCGGTGCTGCTGATTGCTCTGCTTTAAGACCGCTTAAGTGTCACACTCCCAAGAGTGTTTGGGTCGATGGAGATTCAGGCAAGATTGGATCATTTGTGATTACAAGAGCAAGTAATTATAAGGAGTTGTGAGAATCGAACAGCTGGGAATTTTCATACGTCTTCATTTTTGTTGGGCAAATGTGCCAAAATACAGGTGCAAGTTCTCCTTCAGTTGAGCCTGAATTTTTAGTCTGTGAAGTATTTGAACTATAGTGTGGTGAGAGGAAAAATGTTAGATATTAACTATAAACTAAACAAACCCACGCTGCACCGCCAACCTTCTCTGGTATCTAAAGAAAACAATGCAAACATGTTTCACTCTCCGCAATCCCAAGACCTGTTGGGATTGAAAAGGCTCACAAAACTTTCCCTTTGTGGTTTGCAGGTGTGAGAATAAACTTTCTGACACTTCTGAACTGCTTAGAGTCATGCACATGAGATATTATAGCGATTATACATCAAATCTAAATGTCTGCATGGGTGTGAAGTTAATGCTGATGACAGTTATGACAATAATTTCACGTTAGTGCTGACATTTAATGCCTCAGCGGTCTTAGGCTTGAGATTTAAAAAGATAAATGGCTCCACGATAGGATTGATCATCGTCTCTCTGTCTGTCTTCCCCCTCCTCTCAGGGGATGATGTACCTGGAGGAAAGGCGGTTAGTCCACAGAGACCTGGCGGCTCGGAACGTGCTCGTCAAGTCCCCCAACCACATCAAGATCACCGACTTCGGCTTGGCCCGGCTCCTGGATGCCGACGAGAAGGAGTACAACGCAGACGGGGGCAAGGTTGGTGTAAGTGGAAACCTGAGAACGTCTCGGTGTGGTTAGACAGAAAATAGTGGGTACAACGTTCCCCAACGATGGGTGATGATTCTTCATAAGCGGATACATCATCACTTGTACATAAGATGCACACAATACCTCATAATTTGGCAGCTTGTAGCTTGTAACATCAGATTTGCAGGTGACCCAACTGTCATTTTTAATATCTAAGATGTCAAGAAGACAGACTGACCAATGGACAGTCTATCTGGAGGTCATCCGCTCCTGGAAAGACTCCTGAATCTCCTAGAAATGTCTTTCTTTGTAGATTTGCTGACTGCGATGCGTTTGTAGCACCTGAGCAAACGTTCTGGCAGCACAAAATGGGATAATCTCCGAGGTCATTGCTGTACAGCAGAGTGTCGGTACCAGATTAAGAGATTTAATTCTGAATAAAGTCATAATATCATGACAATCAAGTCAGTAGTAGAATAAAAACATGTCATTATCAGAAGAAAGTCATGCAATTCTAAGAAAAAAGTTGTTTTAAAGAGAACTGAGCTTCCAGTTCTTCTAAGTAAAGTCAATCATTTCAAAGTCCTGGTAATAATTTGATGCTAATGTGTTAAAACATGATTTCCTCACTTGTAAAACTGATACCAAAGTATAACTTCACAAGATGCTCACCATTAATGATTTATGGTGTGTGTTTTTTTGTGTAACCTTCTCATACAAATTTTATTTCGACTTTTTTCTTCTCTTTTTTTTTTTAACTCTGCGCTTATAATATTCTAACCTTATTCTCGAAATGTCATGCCTTTATTCTTGTGTCTTCACGAAACCTTCATTCTTGAAATAAAAAAAAAAACATTTTCTTCCTCTGGCGCCAACACTCCCGTTTATTTTCACGGCCAGGAACAGAGGAGAGCTGTTCTCAGATGTCCCGCCCAGTAAACACTCATTTTGAGTGTCAATACGACCAACGACCCGGCGAGACTCTGTCTTCTCCCAGACGACCTTGCGCGCACAGAGCCGTGATTTTCTCCCGACATCCTCACGCAACGGCGCCGCAAATTACTTTCCACGTCTCTTAACCGGCAGCGTTTATAACCAGCAATCAAATAGCTATTTTCTGCCTGCTCAGCGGCACGGAAACGGAAAAATTGTTAACAGCAACGGCCGAGCCGCGGAGCTGTGTGTCGCCTCTTTCTCGGTGGAAATTAATTGTAACAGTTAGCCGCCTGAAAGGAATGAGCAGAATGGCAAAATTTGGAAGGTTTTCTACTTCATATCCAGAGTTTTATCAAGTATTCAACTGTTTTGACTTTGCTTTTTAAACTGTTTTCATCCTGTCGAAATTGTACATATTTCATATCCAATATGACCGCAGAAATAAGTAAAACCGTATCCGTTCTCTGATGGGAGAATGTCGGAAACAGTTTGTTTTATAGAATTTCGAGGCTCTTCGTCCCAGCAAACAACGGAGTCGGGTTGTTTTGTTCGCGGACCGCATCAATCAGGAGCCCTCCACCCCCCCACTGCTTCAGACCCACTACGCAAAATTGCCCTGATCAACTCCCGTTATTAAATTGGCTTTTCATTGCCACATCTATTCGGCTGGAGGCCCGAAAGGCTCGCCGCCGCACGTCGAGTACGGGCTGTTATTGCTGACGGACGGGGGGCGCTGGGGGGCGACGGGGGAGGGGGGAGAATGATTTCATAACCAGAGCGAGTCGCAAGCAGCCATCTGAGTGATTGACTCCATGTTGGTTTTCACTGATGCCTTGATAAATGAGAGCCGTTGTCAGCACATCTGCATGTTCTCGGTAAAAATAGACGCGACGCGGGAGATCCATCAACAGGAAGTGGAGGTGCAACCTGAAGCTTGTCATTTCCTTCTTTCTTTTCCATTTCCCTAAAGAGAGTGCGTGTGTATGTGTGTGTGCCGGGCAAGGAGGTTGACGCCCCAACATGAAAACATGGAAACGGGGAGCATAATTGGCCTCCTGTGAGTTTGGGAATCATGTTGCTGTTAGGAAAGGTGACCGTCAGGAAATCCGTGAGCGACGTTTCCCACCAACCCGTTGGAAACGTTCAGGTGAACTGGGAATACATAAATGCGTAAACCTCCTGCAGCCGTGAAACATGCATGTTCGTAAAACGCAGACTCAGCTGAGTTCGCTCAATACAAGGGTAGCAGAAAAGTGGTCATTCAGATTCAGACGGATTTTCCTTTCCTTTTTTTTTTTTCCTACATTTCGCTAAATGTTTCACACGAACACGCTGGAGTAAACCCACAACATCCAACCCATACCTCATACAAGAGGAATGAATTATTATTGAGTTAATAATCCTATTCTATTGATATTCCTATCTCCTCAGATGCCCATCAAGTGGATGGCTCTGGAGTGCATCCACTACAGGAAGTTCACCCATCAGAGCGACGTGTGGAGCTACGGTGGGTGCTAAACGCCAAGTCCTGTTCCCTTCGTCCGCCTCACCGTGTCTCACCTCTCGTCTCTCCTCTTCCTCTCCTTCTTGTCCGCGTTTTCCCGGATGCGTCGCGGCGAAAGGAGTGACCATCTGGGAGCTGATGACATTCGGAGGCAAACCGTACGACGGCATCCCCACGCGGGAGATCCCAGACATCCTGGAGAAGGGCGAGCGACTGCCGCAGCCTCCCATATGCACCATCGACGTCTACATGGTCATGGTGAAATGTGAGCGGACGCACACACTCCAGAAAACACCCGTGATGAAATGTGTGCTTCACGTGAGGCAAGGCGGAGAGTTTTGTCGCTGCTTTTAGCCTGGAAACAGAAAAAATCAATCAGTAACTGAAACCACAGAGCTGTAGGTTAGTATGCGGCTGGTGTCAGCACTTCTAGAGACCGCTAATTAAAATTAAAACGTTACATCTGGAGTAATGCAGGAGTGGCTGGGATTACATGCTGGATCCATGGCCGGAGTAGAAGCTACTTTGATGATGTTGTCAGGCAGCTAGTAGACAGAGAGTAGAAGAAGTTGCTGCTGGAAGATCAGCAGAATCCAATGAGCTCAGAAAAGTTTATTTATTTAGTTCTGACTCCCAGCAAAGGTCTTCAACAGGGTTCTGTCAGAATGTTTGTTCTTTTGGATTAATATATCTACTGTTATCAGAGTCTTTAAGTTAAATGTTTGCAAGGACAAAAGTTTGCAAACCGTTTTTTTTTTTTTACCCCAATGCTCCTTTGCTGAAGTTGTTACAAATCAGTTGGACTTTAATAAAAAAATAAAATGTTAATATTCATCTGCTGAGAAGTCGTTGATGAGCCGCTGCCTCCTAGAGAGGCAGCCAGGATGATGACATGCTGGTTTAACTCCGTGACGGACGGGCCGGCCTCACCAGAGACTCCGGTCCGGTTCTTTGTTGGTGCCATCCTCCATCTGGAGCGCCACGCTTCCTCGCCCCCAAACTTCTCTCCAGCTCATACCGCCCGTCCAAAGCCTCATCCGATCCCCCCGCCGCCACCCTCCAGGCCGCTTCCAGAACCCCGGTGCTTCTGGGCCGGGTTGCCGACTGATCCACCCTCCCATATTTCCAGGAAGCGCTCCAGACGCACGTTGCCAGGACATGCTGCAGGCTGTGCCAGCCACCGGCTTCTTGGCCGGATTCCCCCGTGCCGTCTGGTCATCACTCAACCCCGTCTGAACTCATCCGTGTCTGAAACGCCCCGAAAAAAATCAATCCATACAAAATGTGTTCCTGGTTATCTGGGCTTTTGTCGCACAGTTACGGAAACCTGAACATTCCTCTTGATTCTCATGAAGGTAAGCTTAGACAGAGGTTCTGCTCTGATCAAACAGGAAGTTGGAGTATCTGACGGTGTACAACGAGTTTGACTGGACCAAGGCAGAGGCCATTTCACTCCCCTATTTCTCACACTTTTATTTTCCCTCCTTTTGGTTGATACTTTCCTTTTAATTGATGCATGGAATTGTTTTTCCAGCAATATTAGGATCAGAAAAACACAGTAAATGTCTTATTCAAGAAGCTGTTCAGGTCGATGGGTTTCCTCCGCATGTTCTTTTTAGTTTGTTTTTGGGGTTTTTTTTGACAACAGATTCTTTTTACTAAGCTTTTAAGAACTTTAGCACGCTAGCTCGCAAACAAATTCTATAAAACTATCAGAGCTTAAAAATAAGCAGTGAACATATTAGCATGTGCACTAACGGTGCACTCCACTGAAATGTCTCCCTAGCCTATTAGCAGGTTCCAAATTAAAAAGCAGAACACGAGCAAAGTGCTGCTTTCCAACACCAACACATCTCAGCATACTTGACTGATAACTCTCTTGTTCATTCTTGTCAAACGTCAAAGATCAGAACCCGGCTTGGTTGTTTTTCTGGATCCAGAACCTCTGATTTATTACTGCTCTTCTCAATGGTTTTAGATGCTTTTTTTTTTTTTTTTTCAAGCCCAGTCAACTCAACATGGTTAGCATGATATTTCTATGCCTGGAGGTTTGAGCGTGAACTTAAACACCTCCTCAATAATTCAACTAAATACTAGAAACCATTCTGAAGTAGTTAGAATGTTGTATCCAGAAGAGTTATTCACCTTCAATTATTTTTCATGACGTGCATTGTTTTTTTTAATTTTGGAGCAACACTCGGCTGTCAGAGTGCTGGAGGAGGTAATGGAGGTCATGTCAGTGAAATCAGCAGCTCTGCCCAGTCGCCACCTGCCGCTTTCGCTTCCTCTTCAGGGATTAGCTGTGTTTACTGCGGCTGGAGACTGAGGGAGAGAGAAACACGGACCTTGGACTCGACGACGAAGTAAAAAGCAGAAATATGCTTTACTCCTCCTTTTAACTGCCTCTTCAAACGGCCTTGAGCGGCACACTTCATTCTGCGATTGTGCGGGACTCGATTAAAAAAAGGCATCGCCGCTGCTCAACTGGCGTTCTGTGGAGAAACGAAGGTCGAACTTATACTGGAGGAAAATGAAATGGAGGTTGTGTTTGTTTTGTTCTCTTTTTTTTTTTTGCATCCAGGCATAAATTTAACTGATTTGGGGGACAATTGGGTGCCTCCTGTGAAAATACCCAAATGACATGTTTTCATGTGTCCCAATTTGCAGAGGAGCAGCAATGAATGGGCTGTGAAAGCCAGAGAAGGTCAGCACAAGTTTGTTTTGTTAAAGACGGTGAAGAATCTTTAGAAAGGCCGAAGTGAAAGAAGCAGCAGATGGTTTCTCTCTCTCTTTCTCTTTCATCTGTTCTGATGTTTCTGAGCTTCTCTTTGTTGCCTGCTTTCTCCTCAGGCTGGATGATCGACGCAGACAGCAGGCCCAAGTTTAAGGAACTGGCTGCAGAGTTCTGCAGAATGGCCCGTGACCCCCAGCGGTACCTGGTCATCCAGGTACGCCCACTCATTTCGCGACGGCTATTTTCACAAACCGGATTTAGGAAGAGATTACGATCTCCGTTCCTGTTTCCGTCCGGGTGCCAGGGAGACGACCGCATGAAGCTGCCCAGCCCCAACGACAGCAAGTTCTTCCAGAGCCTGCTGGACGAGGAGGACCTGGACGACCTGATGGACGCCGAGGAGTACCTGGTGCCTCGAGGTTTCAACATGGCCGCCGCGTCTGGCTCCGCGAGGCCCCGCGTCGACTCCAACCGAGTAAGAGCTCCTCTCTCGTTCGGCGAGACATCTCCAGTTTGGTGACGTGATAAAACATCAGACCAAATGTCTCCGCAGTCAGACATGAACTCGGCACCAGTGAACGGATCGGCAGGTCTGGCAAACTGTACCTTCATAACCCACAACCTGTAACATATTACACTGGAAGCTAGCTACAATCATAACTCCCAACACGTAATTTAACAGATAATAATCGATAACCGTGAATGATCAGCACACAACATATTCTGTTGCCTACCTTCTGGTTTCTTCTGTTTTTCCTTTTTGTCCAAATGTCTCAGAACATCAAACAGACTCAATTTGTTCCATTTGTCATGGAGAAAAACGTTCAGAGCAACCCGGCCCAAAGTTAATGCGAAAACATCACAAATGAATGTTTCACCGTCTTTTGGTCTATTTGTCTCGTCACACTGAGTCAGACCTGCAGAGTAAAGAAGCCACTTAAAATCAGTTCCTACTGCGGCTGACAAAACACCAATCTGCTCAGAGTTACATAACCGTCGATACGTTTTGGACCATTTTTCATCATTTGCCATCAACGCACAATAATGCATTAGTCTGGAATCATACGAGGGGTTTTGCTAATTTTTGTGTGAATTTTGGTGAAAAACTGCTAACACTTGATAACACTCAACTCAGATTATTAGCCGGAAAGTTGGCTTCATCTGCAACACACGAGACAAACACTTTCCTGCATTAAAAACATTAAGAAAACGTTTTTCACAAACATTTAACAGACAAAAACTTCAAACTAGATCATTTGGGTCAGTTCAAATATTGGTTGTTCCACCAAACGTCTTCCTTTCTGAAGATTTCCCTCTCTGTATTTTGACCTTCCTGAGCCACCATAAGGACTCTGAATGGTTCGGAGCTTGGACTACAGCAGGGATTTCTTTTTGCGAATGCGCTGCCTGTTGCTTCATTTCCATTCCAGCAGTCTCCCTTCAATCTGGACTCTTTATGCTCTCGGCTCCCCAGGCCCCCAGTATTACTCAGCGCTTTCTAAGCAAATAACACTTCCCCACCTAAACGGCCCGAGCCGTTTGGTAATGGACAATAACAGCAGGCTAATGCAGTATGCACCTCGGGCTGCAGGAACATGCAGTCTGCATGTTGGAGGACTGCAACTTCTCCTGTAATTGCTGCTCAGCATTCAGCGCTTGATGAAGTGCAGAGAGCCGCCAGTCAGCCCATGGTGAGCCACGGTGGTGCGGCTTTTCTTCTGGGTTCTGGTTTGATGTCGGAGTGCGAAAGTTTCGTCTTCAGCCGGCCGACCAACCGTCTCTCACCACGTCTGACGGAGGGAGAAAGAAAAGACTGTGAAGGATTTACGCTTTTCAGGCTTCCTGCAAGATCTTTCTGTTAAAATCACATCAGACAAACGACAACAATCGGGTTGAAAAAAAAATGGATGGATGAACGATAAAACATCAGTTAGTTAGTTGGTGGGTCGGATGGATGGATGGATGGATGGATGGATGGATGGATGGATGGATGGATGGATGGATGGATGGATGGATGGATGGATGGATGGATGGATGGATGGATGGATGGATGGATGGATGGATGGATGGATGGATTGGATGGATGGATGGATGGATGGATGGATGGATGGATGGATGGATGGATGGATGGATGGATGGATGGATGGATGGATGGATGGATGGATGGATGGATGGATGGATGGATGGATGGATGGATGGATGGATGGATGGATGGATGGATGGAATAACCAGTTTATCCCTGCTGTTCATTAACTGTAACATTTGAAGTTATGATTGTGAATTAATAAGAACTTGTGGTTTATTCAACATATATTTAAATATAGTTATTAACCTGCAGCGTAAGCATCTGTGTTTCTATCATTTAAGAATGCCAATGTTTCCCTCAGAACCAGTTTGGCTATCGGGACGGGGGCCCGAACACGATGGAGGGGTCTCTGGTGGGGGCCCATGGTGGAGGGAACCAGGAGGCATCCAGCAGCCAGGGCCCGGTTCTGGAGGACCAGCGCTGTAACGGGAGCCTCCATAAAAGCAGCCAGAGCCAAGCCGGGGCGGAGGACCCCGGCGCCCAGAGGTACAGCGCCGACCCCACCATCTTCCTGGGGGACAGGACGTCCAGAGGGGACACCGACGAGGTCGGCTACATGACAGCCATGAAGGACAAGAGCTCCTCAGGTACTAGAAGCAGAAGCAAAGCATGATGGGACTTCCCATGGTGTTCCTCATCGCCTCGCCGTAGCATGCTTCACTTCTTCATTTCATCTTGGCTTTATTGATTAACATTCTGAATGAGTTTGCATCAACAGCGGTTTGTGTCAGCTCCCACCACAGAACCATGCTCTGCCTTTGATCATAACTTAGCGCACCAGGCCTTTTCCTGATTCCTGAGCTGCCTCAAATGCAACAAAGCCCCAAGCAAAACGCATCTGAGCGGAGGCGAGAGATCGATGGAAGCAGTGGAGGCTCGTTGTTTTTTCCACTCTGACCCCAGCAGATGGAGCTGCCAGGGCCAAAGAACTGCTGGCGTCCTGCCCATCTGGTCCTCAGCAGCCGCCATGACCAACCCTCATTAGTCACTCATCTCTTTCCTTTAGATTCCATTCATTCGTATTTCCTTTTCCTTTGATTTCATGTCTGTCTGTCTGATGAGTTCACGGTCTTCTCCTTCTGATCTGTGCTGCAGAGTACCTGAACCCCGTTGAGGAGAACCCGTTTGTATCCAGACGTAAAAACGGTGAGATCCATGCCTTGGACAACCCGGGCTACCACAGCACGCCCAGCAGTCAGCCCAAAGGAGAGGACGAGTACATCAACGAGCCCCTTTACCTCAACACCTTCCACAGTCCTGCTGAGCTGGGACTGGAAGCCCTGAGAAGGAACGGTCTCCCCTTACCCAGCATGCCTCCGTCCTCCATCTCAGCCTCAACGCCAGGCTCCCACCTGCCGCTCACTATTCAGACCAGTCTGCCCCACTACACCCTATCCTCAGCCCAGCCGTCTCCGGCCGGCCTGCCCTGCCTCCATGCTCCAGCAGCTCACATCCTCCACGCCCATAACGCCATCAAACCTGCAGGGCTGACTGGAAATCCAGGTGGCTCCATCCCTCCCAGCCAAACAGGAACTTCTGCTCCAGCCCCGGTGAGCCAAACAGGTTCCCTGTCCACCTCAGCCACCCTGGGCCACGGTAGCCTGCCAGCCTACCAGAGCTACACCACCTCCCATCCCGGCAGCCTGCTGAAGCATGGAGGGCATACGTCAGGGAAGGCTAGCGGGAAGAAGCTCAAGGTAACCTTTGACAATCCTGAATATTGGCAGCACAGCTTGCCTCCAAAATCCTCCTTACAGGTGGCCCCTGAGGGAGCCCAGGGAGGCCCCGCCAACGCCAAGCTTTTCTACAAGCAGAATGGACACATACGGCCCCCGGTGGCTGAAAACTCTGAGTACATGTCTGAATTTGCCCTGAAGTCCGGCACCGTTCTGCCGCCTCCACCCTATAGGCAGAGAAACACTGTGGTCTAGATCATCCACCAGCTCTAGCCTCCTGCCACCCAGACATCCTTTCTGGTTCCACCATCAGTGGCGTCAAAGACCCGCCTGACTCTTTCCAGAGATTGCGCCATCTGCTGTAGCAACATCCAAAGGAGTTGGACAGGAACAACCAACTCAGACACCTTCCCTATATCCAGTCCATTTCCGTTTTTTTGTAGATAGAGACTATCTTCCAGCGCATTGAGACGGCCGAGGCAACAAAGATCAGGCGACGAAAGATGGAGGCATTCTGTGATGTTGGCGCACAACTCTCAGACTTAAAAGGATCAAACTCTGGGGTCATGAACTCACTGCCAGCCACCTCAGTGTTACTTTTGTGAGAGAAACACAAGGTTTTCTGTTATTTTCCAGCAAAAAAAAAAAAACCTTACAAAGCCAGAAGATGAGCAATAGATTCCGAAACAAGAAAAATTAGTCAGGTTTTGCGATGAAAGAAAGCAAAACGAGGGAAACTGAGGCAGAGTTTGGTTTAGTTTTTGGAGAGAGCAGCAGAATCAAAGCTATCAGCTATATTCAGTGTTTTTGCCTTCCGGATTATACCGCGTGTTCTTGACTTTTCCATTGAATATGTGAAACCCATCTAATCCTACTGTTACTGTGATACTGTGACGGCCAGAACTACAGTGATCTCTTTTATTTGTAGTTCAACCACAAACTGTAAACTAATCGCCTGAAAATCTCCTGGGCAACAACAGCTTTTTTTTTTTTCTTTGTTGTAAACTTTGGAGATTATGATAAGAACAATGAAGGAACAAAAACAAAAAAAAAGTACACTGTTATTACTTTTCTATACACTGGTTCCAGTGCGGAAAAGCTGCATTTTTGACACTGGTTTTCCATTCACACCGCAACGCGAACTTTGAGGAGTAAATGTTGTTATGGAAATTGTTGCATCCAGCCAAAATGTGTGTGAAGATCGTCCAAAGAGGGTCAGATCTCAAAGTGCTGATCACAGAATGTCAGACATCTAGTGGGAGGATGAGGGAAGCCGACTAATGAAGACCTCAAGGAATGAAGAAGGCAGCACCAGCAGAGCACAGACTACTTTTTAATGTGTGGATCTGGGTTTGCATCAGTGTGACTGGGATGAGTGCGTGTGTGTGTTTGTTTCAACAAGCCAGCCTGGCCCCTTTGAGAACGAGAGAAAAACAAGTTGCAGAAATGAGCCGCAGTGTAATTGACAGCTACAGATATCAACCAGCAGCAGGCCTAAACAAAGGCTTTTAGATGTACGGATAATGAGAAATCAAGGGTCAACCGAAGGCTCTTAGAGCGGGCCAGTGCCAACAAATCTCAAGAAACATTTCAAAGTCCCCGCAAATCTGCTTTGTTGAGTTCAGGAACGCGAGGTTTCACACTGGATCTGTCGACAAACCCTTCACAGGCATCGATTTGGTCCTGAAATGTTGATGGAAGCCATGTTTTTTTTTTTTTGACGTTCTGGAAGCCGTTTCATGGGTAACATAAACTACGTTACTCATAGGACACCAATACCTTAAACTCTTTTAAGTTAACCTACCAGCTATCGGGTGGTGTAGCATTGCGGTTAGCTTGTTAGCTTTAGCAACATGACTGACCATGTCTTCACTTTGTAACTTGAAGCTCTGTACACACTTAAACTCTGGCCACACCAGCACTTCCTCAAGCATCTCCTTAAAATTGTTGAGGTAAAACACCTTGGTGAACCTCAACACCGGTAACCAAACCACGCCTACTTCTTCTTTCCACTAGAACAGTTTTTTTTTTTATGTTATTGTTTTTACCAAAATAATTAGAAATTTTTGTACCGATAGTGCTTCCGTCTTTAGTTGGTGTCTGTAGGTCTATAGGTTTCTTCACAAAGTGTCTCCTAAATAGACACTTTGTGTCTATTTAGGAGACCAAATGACAACTTTGGTTTATTAAGCATAGTTATGATGACCTAAAAGACCAAGGACATTTTCTGTTAAGCATGTAATTTGCTTAATATTGGTTTAATAAATGAATTAGTTTGACTGGACTCGGACTAAATGGTTTAAAAAACCTTTACATATTATTGGCCTTGATGCCATACAGTCCAACCGGGTTCCTAGGGCCTTTGGGAGAGAAGCTAGCCCACAGCACCATAGATCCTCCACCGTATTCAACAATGAACATGAGGTGGAAATACTCTTGGTTTATTTTAGTTGTATGTTTGGCATAAGTAGTTGTGTAAAAAACTGGAATTTGTAATAGTTAAACCTTTCACCTTTAATTGGGGTTGCTTTTACTTTTTTTTTTTTCTAACATAACGTTGGTCTCCCTCCCTCAGAAACTGTACATATTTTTAAATTATTCAGCATAGCCTCAGTCCAAAAAGAAACCCACAGAAACAGAGCCGTTTGATCAGAGCCGAAGTCAAACGTGGCGAAAGCTTCAGATTTTCTGTTATAAATACGCAAAATCAAAGCACCACAACTGTACCGTATTATATCAACTGCTGCCAAAATAACCTAACACAGTGATTAGTAACAATGACTTTTTCACACTTGTTTTCAGTTTTGAAATTAAGACTAATTAATAAAGAATGCTAAGCTAATATTTTGAACAGATTTATACGCACATTTTACGTTCTTGTAGCGCCATAAGTCATTTGATTGATTTGTCATTTATTTAAACAGATAACAGCCTCTAGGCAAAATCCACGGATCCATTTCAGCGTGTGTTGACGGCGTCATTAAATGTGTCCCCCTGTATTGTTCAGAATACCTGTGAAAAAACAATCGGTTCCTCTTTCCTCTCAAGAAAACAGTCGTTGAGTTCGACAACGATGCCGCTTCGGGCAAACTGCCACCAAGGAAGAAGAATGTTGGTGTTAAAAGTTTTTAAATGGCTAATATTGTTCACTTTGTATTGCTCAGCATTAAAACTGCCTTTTCAGGTGGTGGAAAACTCCATCTGAGCTATTTTCTTATTTACCTTCCTGACAGTTGTAAGCTGACAGGATTTGACGATGCACTTGTGAAAGCCTTGTACGTTTTTCATTTCCCCGGAGCGCTTTGATCAGAGACGCGGGTAGAAATTGTCTGTTTCCATCTTGTCCCACTGAAATATTCAACATGTTTTTCTGCGAGTTTAACACGTAAGAACTCAAATGTTTAAGCTTGAATTTGAGGAAAGTGATGCGTTCACTTTCCTCAACGTCAAATGTGTGAGGGGGTAAAATGTTCTTGTTCCAATGTTGTTGTTTTTTTTATGTTTAATGTAACCAGATTATGACTAATTCATAAAGTAGTATCTTGCAGCCACTTTTGGAGCTCTTAATTGTATGGAAAAGAAACTGAATTTATAATCAAAGTAAAAAATTTATAACTTCTTTCAGCTTATTTACACAGAGCAAAGGAAGCAACACTCAGTTCCAGGATTTTGAACTGAAAAAAAAAGACTGAGTGCAAATGAAGACATGCACTAAGATAAACTTCAGGAAAAGGCAAAATATATAAGAAACGACCAAGACCAAGAGGACAACTTAATTGTAAAAATACAGTGGCTCTATTTTAACCCAATCCAGTTTTTATTGACGTGGTGGTCTTTTCGGAGCCCGGCTGGACTTTCAGCGTCGATGAAAAAATTATTTCTTTTTGTGAAGGAAATGATTATTTTCGCTACACGTTTCAAATATATCTTGCTTTGATCCGGGGCAGTGTTACCTAACGCTATGGCCGGAGCATTCGGGTGACTCAGAGCAACAAAAACAGCCCTCAAACCGATGGGTTTATTTAATCCAAGTCCACACGTACACATCTTTTTTTATGTAACTTTCTGTATGGCTTCTTATTTGGGTTTTAGTTGCAAAAATCCTTGAAAAATATTTTTGAGCAGTTGGTTTCGTTGGCACAGAAAATGGGGAGCCCCAGAAGGCACCTTTGTGTTTTTACAGGCAGATTTTTTCTGTTCGGACAGATTTCTTTGTTATTTTAGAACACACTCGCATGTGTGTGAATCTCAATGTTTCTTTTGGAAAACCTGGTTTGTACTGCTGGCATGAATAACCCAAATACGATCTGTTGTTTTCACGGCTGGAGTTTTTTTTTTGTTTGTTTTTTTTCTCCAAAGTTTTCTTCCAGCCTAATTTTTATCTCGTGAATTTAATTTTATGTTACTGTTTAAGCAACAGCTCAAAGGCACGTTGCCTTGTTCCAAACAAAATAGCTTTTTAACACTTGCATAAATTCACCAGTTTTGGCTGTTGCCATTAAAAACCTGAACACAGGAAGGATGGATACGGGTAACGTTTCTTACAAACCCAATAATGTCTGTATGAATTAGTTTGAAGCTATTGTACCATCTAAGCCGATTTGTACTTTAAATATGAAAACCAGAAGATAAAAGATTTCTGCTGTCTAATGCACAGAAAGGCAAACAGCTGTGCTTGTTCACGAATTTAGCGAATGTATATTTTCCATATACACCAATTTTAAACGAAGGCCTGATGAAGACCTTCAACGTATAACTAATATTTTATTTAATAACTTAATTGTGAGCTTGGACCATATTATTTAAATGAATTTGTACAGTACGCCCAGAAGGCGCGAAAGACACTTTTAAAAAAAAAGAACAAAAAACATCGTTAACAAAATATTTTATTTATTTTTATTTAATAGTCTAACCATGTACTGTATGTGTGATGGAGGCATAAACACTGATTTTTAAAATATTGTTTCGCTCTACTGATAACCTGAAGCTACGTAGCAAAGGTCATTTCTTGGCTGGTTTTCTCCCATTCAGAATAAAGCAGAGTATGATATGTTGTAAATAATGTTTGCTTAAAGTGGTCGAGAATAACCTTGACATTGTTGTCCAGTGCACAACAAATTGAACGGATATTTGAGCAAATTCGACAGCACAAACCGGGACTGGAATATTTCAAGAGATGCCTGTGTGTGTGTGTGTGTGTGTGTGTGTGTGTGTGTGTGTGTGTGTGTGTGTATGTTTTCTCCATGCCATCAAGGACACGTAGTTCATCCACTGTACATTATTTAACATGTTTGTAAAAAAAAACTCCAACTCCCAAACTTTGATTTATTTATTTTTTTTAATCGCACAATTTGTCACGTGAATGAAAAGCCGCGCGCTCTTTTCCACAATAAAATACCAGATGGGTGAACCTGTACAGAATCTTTGGGGAGGGAATCCTCCAGAATTTATCTACACATACTACCACAACAAATGTGAATAGTATTTTTCTAAAGCACTGTAATGGCCGACGTGGTGAATTTGTACATAAAACGGGAGGCGACGCTTTGAATTTACATCGGCCTTTTCTCCGACTCTTGTTTTTTTTTTCCCCCCCTCCTGCTCATCACTACTTGTACAAAAAGAGACGTACATATTTGCTTTCTGTGACTGTATCTTTGGGATGGTGGGGATTTGATTTTCATAGTGCTTGTTGACCTTTTTATCATGTGAAACTACGTTCGGTGGCCCTCCTCCAGGCCTCAGTGGCTGTCCTCATGGATTTTTTTGTTGTTGTTTTATGTAGACGCTCAAACTCTACAAAAGTGACGCAGGCAGGCTAATAAGTGTAATTTAATATTTCCGTTCACACCTGCCAGGTTAACCCACCCATACTTACAAACATATTTTCCTTTTATTTAGCACCATAACTGTGAAACCAGTGCTGCCAACTAACCTAGACAGTGCTACTTGCTCTGCTTAGTTTCTACTAAATATATTACTGAGCCAAGTTTAACTCCATCCTTTCCCTGAAAGGCAGAGCACATCTTTCTCGACCACTTTGTTTCCCGTTTCATTTTTTTGCATGCTTTTCGAGGTGATGTGAAGGAGAGAAGCTTCTCGCCTTCGCCCTTCCACGCTTTCTCCTCTTCTCGAGCATCTCTCTCTTCAAGTCCTTGGAAATCACGCCCAAAGCTTTATATCAGAGAAATACCCTTCCTCATGTTTGTTACATGAATCTGTCAAAAGTATATTTTTAATTTAATATAAATAAAGATTGATTCTGTATTGTTTGCGGTCATTTCTTGGCGTGATTCTTTCCACGTGTGCTCACATTTTGACTGGTGGCTTTCTTTTGGAGATTTGGGGAATTCTGGTAACTTTGGGAAGTGGAGTCTTGGAAACACCTGGAATTTCCAATCATTTAAATCTCCTTAGCTGGGAAACGAGCCCAAGTGATCACCTCCACACCACCGTGGATCATGGTTTGTAGGAGCTAACGGAGGCTACGATTCCTTGTCCTAATTTTGGCAAAACATTTTTATGTTTTTTGTTTTCTTTTTCCTAGGCGCTGACTTTCAGGTGGATTTGTTTCCTCCGGATGTTGATCTCAGAGAAGCTGCGGTCCAGGTTCGAGCACACCCCACACCCCACCTGACGCGCCGACATTCAAGCTTCAACAACAAAACCCAACAGATGTCGTCCGCAATTAATAACACGCCACGGTCTGCTTCCTCTGACCCGACGCCTTCAGATCAGCGCCGCAGATGAAGACCACGCGCATCAAACGGTCTGCGGCGGAGGAAGAGTCAGCCGCAGCCCGGCGTTTTGCTCTCGTTTCCCTCCTGCCCCGTGCTGCGCTTAATCCACTGTTTACCCAAGCGTCGGTTACGTAAACTGGCATCGGCAACATCGTTTGCTATGCAGCGCTCCTCCAGTTCTGCTCTGGCTTTCATTTCCATCATAAATAATACAAAACTGTCCAGTGGCAGAATACGAGCTTTCTGAAGTCGCTGCTATTAATACTAATCAGGCAACGGCTTGCTTAAAGTAAACACTTTATGAACAGAAGCCTCCCTCCCCTCACTTTCTTCTCCTTTTTATCCCCTCTATTCATCTCCTCAGAGCACTGAGACTCAATTAGCAAGCACATCTAGTTCCACCATAGTGATATAGGATAGGAGGGGTTGTTCTGCTGCACTGGGACTCCATTTCAACTTGTTCCCGCTATACGTCTTTAGAGCACATTCCACATCTCCATACGGTCTGAAGATGAGACAGACATTTTCTTTCCAGAAATGGTTTATTCAAAGCCCCTTCCTTGCCTTGCTGGGGTCACAGTTTGCACTTTCTACTTGCTGATAATGAAGCGACCTACGAAGCCAGCTGGTGGAGATGGATTTTATTTTGGGGTGTAGAATGAAGACAGCATTTATTGTCATGCAAGGGGAAATTTGCCAAAGCAAGCTTGTGGTGAAAGCAAACTGGAAGAGCGTGTGGAGCCAACATCTACTGTCTTTTCTCCATACATCCCTTCACGGAACACATGGAGATAAGACAGTACATGGATAGTATGTGGTTAGCGGTAAGATGGTATTTGGCTGTCATTGGCAAAAGATTATTGATGGAAAAGTTTCAGAAATGAGACGTCCTGGTTTCATTTTCTTCGCGAACTCCGACGTCGGTTCCCTTCTGAGATCTAACCGCGTTCACACAGATGGATACTTATTGGAAGTCATTTCTCACTTCCAGCCGTTTCATGATGCTTTGCATTTAACACTAATCTTACGCACCCTCCTGTTGCGTCAAAAATTAAATACAGAATGTGTCCGCTACCATGTCTGGGTAATGTGGTTAAAGATATGAAACATAAATCATAGTTATCTCCCAGCAGGGGGCCGCATTCCCCTCTGTTGTGCACATTTTATCATGCAGTTTGTTGGGTTTTAAAGCACAAGGTGCTGGAGTGTTTTGTAAAAACGCCGGGATTACTTCCTGTAGTCAATCGTCGTTTACTGTAATCTCTCAGAAAATATTCAATAGTCAGTCAATAGTTCACTAATTTGATCTTAGTACAACCAAGACAGAGGAATAAATTAGCATTTTGATTTTCAGAGACTGCAGACTCCAGCGTTCTCCCTCTGACTTGATGAGAACTTGTGGGACGCGCTCGTCCTCCAGCCCTGGCCTGAGGCTGGCACCGCAAGACGAGAGACCCGGCGAGACCCGTCTGCAGCCAGACGGCGCCGGCCCGCTCCGCGGCCCAGGATGACTGTGTGGAAGAGGGAAGAAAACGCTTCCCACGAGGCGAGGCGACTCTTGCCACGCAGCATAGCAATCAGAGCTGAAATGACGGCTGAGGAAGAGGAGAGGCCAAACCGAGGTAAAGGTTGGACGCAACAGCCGGAGGCAGAGCGCGGCTCACCGTCACCTCTGCGAGGGTTGAATACAATACTGATAAAATGAATGCTTCTCCACAGAATTATACAATCACTAGGCAGCTGAGTGTGGATAAATGCTGCCATGACCCACTCAAGAGACGATGAACTCTCTAAACTGTCTTTAGGTTTATTGGCAAACCACAGTTTAAGCTGAATAGAACCGACATTTCAAGGATGTGATCCAAGTTCAACTCTATATTCTGCTTTCAATAAGTTGTCTCAAAATTAATCTTCCCTCTAAATAATCTAATTCATAGAATTTTGCAGTTATTAGGCAGCTGGTATTTCCAAATCGGCACCCAGTTGAACCAACAACAGCTGAGTCGAGAGATCCGCTCCAACTCTTCTGAGAAGAGATCATTACCTTGAACCAACAAGGGAAGGGATAAAACCGATATCAGAGGCCCAGGTTGTCTCCAGAGACGATGCTGGAAACGCAGCTTTCAGAAAATGGCGGCAGGAACTTCGGGGACCTCCAGGTCCGTGTAGACGGATAGAAAAGGTTTCAGAGGAAGTCCTGGTGGCCATCGTGAAGAGTTGACTCATTCTGAGATTGCCAAAGGGATTAAAACTTGAATTTGGAAAAAAAAGCAGCTGTGTGTCATATTAGCTGTTGCACATCTACGTACAGCAGCATTTTAGAAAAGTGGCATTTTACAAAAACTGACAGTGATTTTCAGGCTAGGCATCTCAAGTAGCCATGTTTTTCTATCTGTTTGTGCTTTAACTTTAAATGTTGGTGCTGATGGGGGTTTTTTTGCTACCGGTGGAAGAGTTCCTTTCATTTCATGGTACACATTTTTATAGAGACGATTTTGTCTTTTCTGACCTCAACCTCGAAGCCTCTCTCTTCCTCTAAACTCAAGTCTCTTTGCTTTCTTCATCACAAAACTACACTTCCAGAAATTTTACCCAGATTTTCTTTAAATATGCGGTTATTCTTTTTTGCACGTGTCAGCAGCAGAGGTCTGGAAACGGCAAACAAGGAGGGGAGGGGGGAAGAAACGAGAATTAAAGGTGCGCGTGATTCCTGACGAGATCATTACGTAACTCCACGGTTTCTTCCGGTTTCTGTCTCACCCTCCACCTGCCCACTCCATCACACGGCCCTTTGGGTAACAGCATCAGCTAAAGAACCAGATGGTGTGCAGCTCCTCTGCAATTTGTCAAAGAAAATGATTGCTGAGCGGTGTGAGAAATTAAGCAAATCCAGGCAGAAAGTTCTCACGAGGTGACGGGGCGCTGTTTGATTTTAGGCCTCAGACTCGCTGGAAAGTCTGGCTCCACTTCACCTCTGTTTGACATCAGGCTGCAAAAGCACTTTCGAGCCTCGCAAAGCGATGCACAAAGAGAAAGAGCTCCTTCTGTTTCACCCGTTAAGTCTGGGGACTTTGATGTGGCCGTACGGAGTCGAGAAGGCAGTCTGCCGCCGCCTACCTTTCATCCAGGAGTAAGCCTGTTAGCCTGCAGAGAGACATTCCCACAAATACCAGAGAGTGGCTGTAAAGTTACGCTTTAATGAACGCCACAGAATACTTTAGTGTGCTAGAACTATGTTTTTTCCCCTATCTTTTAGTCCTCACTTTGTCCCATAATAATAATAATCATGTACTTATTGTCTTTGTGCCTCGCCGTTGCATAAATACACGTTTACTGCCATAACTCCTCCTTATAGAAAGCTGCTCACACTGATGATAATCATCTGCATCCCGTGAACTTTTTCTTTCTTTTTGTTATTTTTTACAAACCAAGCGTCCTGTTTTCTTCAGATTTTTAACGTCCCGACATCAAAAACCTTCCAACTGAAAGCGCATCTCTCGTTTCTTTTCTTTTTTCCCCAACCACGACTATAGATGGGGGATATGAGAAAGGTGCCTCATAAGTATGGATGTGTGTGTTTGTGAAATGTGGCGGCGCGTTTGTCCTCGCAGCCCCGCGGTGACTGAGTGTCTCTAATTGAGTGTGCTGCCTGCTCAGACAGGAGGTCTCAGACAGTGTTGACATTCAGGCAGTGGAAGGCCACCATTGGGGATGACAGCTGATCATTCTTCCAGCCAGCAGTCTAATTACACAGAGATGGAGAGAGGCATAAACACACACACACAAAGGGAGAAAGGGGCTTTTTTTTTTTTTTACAAACAGGTTCCGGTTGCTTCCAATCAAGCCTCCTGTCTTGCTGTTTCATCCATTCATAATGGCCGCCCCCTCCGGTGGTTCAAACAGCAGCCAACACCCCCACCGGCTGGCTTCCTGCTCCCAGACTAAACTCCTGCGACCGCGCTGCCGCCCCCAGCTCTCCGGCCTGGCAGCTCTTTTTTACCAATTACGCTAAAGCTGAGTGGAGCTTCGGCCTTCCCCTCGCCGATCCGCACCCAGACGTTTTCTGATGTATGGAGTCAATCAAACTTGGCTGGACGGTGTTGCCGTTGCCTCAGGATATCGGTGAGTTTGCTCCGCGCTCACCCAAATGATAAACTCTTTATGTGTCCACAGGCTTCTGTGAAGCAATAACAACATCCCTGGTCTTCTTCACCCTGCACCATCCATTTCAGCAGGAGCTCCAACGATCTGCAGTCAGACGGCGCAAAGACCTCCGAGGAGTGGGAATGAATTTGGACGGCCGGTTGTGACGGCCGGTTGTGAACAGAAGCCAGTGAGCAATTAGCCGATGTTTAGGTCTTGATGAGCATCACAAGCACAACTCCCGTCTTTCCCAAACCGCCTCAATTCTCTTTGGATACTTCTGATTCCTAACAGGCTTCTTGTTGCAGGCGTCATTGTTAGAACCTCGTCGTTTCAGCAGCGACTTGGATCATCGACTCCGAGGAGTTCAAGTCGAGAATTCATAACCA